TGAACCGACTTTCGAATCTCTTCACGCAACACTTTCACTCGAAATGGAAGTAAGTTCAACAACTTTCCATATGTTTTATCAGTCTCACTTTTGCCTCATACCATCGCCTTCAATCGTCCTGGTTTGGGTAGTTCACTCGACCCTAGCAACCATAACTGTACTAATAGAAATGTTATTTTCCACACTGTCTCAAACCTTCGATGGCACGACAACATTTATGGCTTGACACAAGAGAAACTATGGCATTGGAAGTCATATATTTGGCACTACTGGTAGAAGCACGAAGGATGCGGCGAATACTGGAGCTGATTGGATAATAGTAGACGTGGTACATGAAGTAAAGGCTTGACAATAAGAATTACTCGGGCTGTTAAGCCTCAGGTTAGTCTCCCATCCAGCTTGAGAATCCTGATTTTTAGGGGCAGACTCAGCAAGGCGGGAGTAGGTATGAAATCAAAGGCTTGAGACAGCATGAGGAATTACGCTTCGAGTGGTACAGATAGGGTTGTATGGGTGGAATGAAATAGCTGGACGAGAAGTTAGGAGGCGGATCCTACGGAGCAGGAGTGAAATTCTGATAGGACGTATAGAAAAAGGATTGCGGGGTGAGTGGGTGAGAAAGCCATCCTGCGGTAGAGAGTTGTCATGACATCCGCTCAAAATGGCACATCGTAACACACTTAAATATGCAATTTAGAAATTGTGATAGTGAAGGGGTGATACCAAGATATAAGATTGGTGAGTAGCACAGGGCAGAATGAGAGATGCTACAATTGTTTAGCAGACAACTGGTCAAAGGGTTGACTTCCCTTGTCCATTTGACGAGTTATAGTGTAGTTCTAAGACTGGCAATGCTCACTGACGATGCCGGCGAAACGTCTGGGAATGTACCAAGTATACGTTCTGACTGGAAATGATCATGCATACTATGGACTCCGGACTAGGTGCATTCCTCTGGATCGTCCTACCAATATGGGCAAGTTGCGAAAACAAGGTCAAATAAGTGCTATTCAACGAACCGAGACTGCGAACTTACAAAAGGCTACACTATCTTTTTATTCATATCTTCGAGAAACATTTTTCAACTTAAATAAACTTAAAAGGACATAAATATTCTTTTTGGGTTTTTTTAAGCTTATTTACTGTTTATATTTTTATTTGCGATGCAATATTCTGTGCATGTGAGGTTTTTGTTTTCAATTAAGCAGCCCGATAAACTCATGGTTAATGGGAAAGTAATGTAGACTCTGGGTAAGGCAGCAATTTTGGTGTCTTTGCACTGAGAGACCAAGGTCTCCCTAGTATGAGCACTTCTGCCGCAAACCTGTGTGAAATTAAGAGGTTGGGCTTTCTGTTAACCACATATCAAGACTATTGTATCTACTGGGGAGAATAAATATTCCTCAATTACTTTCACTACCAGGCCATTATGGTAATCAGTACTTAACTAAAAGTACTTGGATTTAGTAAAAACCTGAGATATGAATATCATATATCCTCGATTCTTAAAAGGTATTCTCATCCTTGTTGAAATGGATCTCTGTTTCGATCTCGCCTAGATTTCATCAATACCTCTAACAGGACTTCAATCGTTATATGGAAAAATGCCTGGCCTTCTTGGAAGCAAGACTGTTGGAAATTCAATGGAAACACAAGGTCCACACATATCACTGTGGGAAAATTAAACTACCGGTTTATTATCACATCAACGAAATAGGGAGAATACATATCATATAAGTAATTTAGTGTTAGTATTAAAAACATATTATACACTAAAGAATTAGGTGTCCTGAAAATAACTTCTGCTTTGTGAACAACTGACTTGAGGTGATGAGGTTTAGTGATATAAACCTGAAATTATAAGCGGGGATGGCCAGGTTCGATTCCCATCTGGGAATGCCGATGAGACCCAGGCGAAGTCAAAACTTCATTCTAGCCTAGGCTGGATTAGAATACCTTTTATAAGGTAGGGCAAAGTGAAATACAATGGACATAAGGTGACAAAAGCTCCTAGTTAAGTATGGGCTGAATAATTAAAAATATATAAATTTTGGTTAAAGTAAACGCAAAATACTACCACTCACTTTGGTGATTCATCAATTGAGTCAGCTGAAAAATCTTCAGATTCCTCCATAAGGTCTTCAAAGTCATTGACTAAATCCAGCTCAGAAGCTGGATCATCTTCCTGGATATGACAAGATAGCTCAGAAGACTCTGGCCGTTCGCGAAGCCAATTGATAGAATTTGATTCCTTGAAGTAACAATATTTTATTAAATGACTAACTGACAAGGCAATACAATATTATTTTTAATGAAACAAAATAATATAGGATAGGAAAATGCATTATCGATGCCTACAATCAACACAGCTAACTGTAAAGCTAAGAAACATGAATTTCTGTGCCACAAAAATTAACAGATTTATGGCTCAGTAATGGTCAGACACAAGATTCTGGCCAAAAAGTAATCAGATAAATAAGATTTCTGCAAAAATTCCGGCATTAAAGACCACATTGTTATAATTCGTTAAAAAGGTTTACGAGACTACCAGTCAATCATATATATAAAATGTATTCGTTCTATTTTGGCTTAGGTGACGGAGGACCGGTAGTTGAATCTTCAAACTGTGATATGAGTAGGTCATACGATTGCATTAAATCTCGCCTTACCTTGATTCCCCAAAATACCTTTTTGTAAGCAAGGCTATGCGAGATTAAATGAAAACCTAAAGACTACTCATATCATTGTGGGAAAATTCAGTTACTAGTCCCGCTATCACTTCAAACGAAATTGGGTGAACACGTCTCATATATATGATCTACTGGTGGTGGCATAACCTGCTTACGAACGAAAAACAAGGCTATACAAAGTTGAATGAAGATGTGAGACCTGTTCATATAATTGTGAAAAAAATAACCTACTAGTCTTTCCACTCATTAGACGAAATAGGGTTAATACATCTGATATAATATTTTATCTGCCGCACTGCATGTAATAGAAGAAAATGAGTAAAAAAATACAAATACAAAATAGGTCCTTGTAAATAGAACTAAAGAAAGTGTAAAAAGAAAACAATCAATGGTTAAAGGTATAAGGACCAAGATGATATGGCCTTTTGTGTGGTCGCAGTCTCCTTTCGTTGTATAAAGTTGTTTGACCTTGTTTTTGCAACTCGGTCCTGAGTCCATTATATGCATAAATATTTCCAAAGTCGGACCGTGGACGTGGTACATTCCCAGACGTTTCGCCGGCATCGTGAATGAGTCTCGTCATTCTTAGCACCACAGAACAACGGGTTAGAGACAAGTGAAGACGATCCTTTGATCAAACGTGTGCTAAACAGTTGTAGTATCTCCCCTTCTGCCATGGGGCTATTCACATTTCCTACATCCTCCTCTCACGCCGTCGCAGTTACTATTTTTTCCCCTAGTAACGGTCGTAATTGTTGGCTCAGTTCTAATGAGGGCAGGCAAATCCACTTTTGGTTGTCATCGTGATTCCTGATCTGATTTTCATAAAATCCAAGTTGAAACCCGCCCTTTATAACCTCAACATTAAAAAAAATAAATTCTCTGGGGTACCCATTAATAAGACAAACCTGTGTCAGTTTGTCCAACTCCTCGTCCCAGAACTCGCTAACCGCTAATCATAAGCTTCTGATGATCAAACTCCTCCGTATTCCGATCTTCAATCTGTAGTTATGATGAGACGAAAAATTAAGGATTATTCCCGCATATGAATTCTTTCTGTATAGTCGTCTCATGAGTGTCCCTTTGGAGCGCATGACTTCAATATCCAAAAAGGGTAGTCGTTCATCTTCCTCCACCTCCATTGTAAACTTAATACTTTCATCAAGTTGGTCAATGAAATCGAGGAATCCATACACATTTTCTTTACCATATCACCAGAGTGCAAAGTAGTCATCCAAGTATTGCATGAACACTCTTGGTTGCAGTGGTGACTTCTCGAATTCCCTTTCAAACTTGCCCATGTACACATTTGCCAAAAGAGATGAGAGTGGAGATTCCATCGCTCGTCTAAATATTTGCTCGTAGATATTGCCGTTAAATGTAAAATACGTGGTCCCTACTCTCCGGTTGATCATTTGTGTTAAACATTCTTTCCGAATCCGTTCTGCCTCCAGCATGCCCTCTTCTCGCTCCAATATCTCTAGCAAGGCGCCTACCTCCTTCTCGACGGAGATGTTTGTATACATGAATTGTACATCGAAACTTACCAACAGTTCCGAGACCACCAACCAAATGTTCTGGATTCTTTTGAGAAAATTCATATGAATTCTTGACGGTATTCGAGAGTCTGTCATTTACTTTTTGACTTTCAAGAAAATGAATTTCGCTAGTTTATGCATTGATTCATGATTGTTGTTGACTATTAGTCTTTGCGGATTTCCTTCCTTTTGTATCTTCGGTAGTCCGTAGGCTGTCGGTGGTCTTGCGTCATTTTCGATTAAAGATTTCATCATCCATC